GGGGCGGGCGGGGTGGGCCCCGGGCGCCCCCAGCCGTGTCTCCATGGCGCTGCCCGAGGCCCCGCGCCGGGTTGGGGGGAGCGGGGCTGGGGACGAACCAACGGTCCCGCGCCACCACCCAGCAGCGGTTTGAACTGCCGGGCTCCAGCGCTCCGGGGACGCTGATTGGAGGAGAGCGGCGTGCGCGTGGGAGGTGCGTCGCGGCAGTCTGTGACGTGTACGGGCTGGGCGGGGCCTGGGGCAGCACGGGCCGCTCTGAGGCCTTTCCGAGGGGAAGAACCTCTCGAGGTACCGTATTTACTGGACTGGAGGGAGGGCGGCCGGGATGTAAGGCAGCCCCAAGAATGAGATCCTAGCTCTGAAGACTGTACGCGTTCCTTATCATTTTCTACATGTGGACACTTGTTACATCTTCCCACGTAGAGTCTGAGCGTTGGAGGGTTCGTTTGAAACCACCTCCTATAGCAGGGAGCGCAGGTGGCCCCCTTGCCTCTGCCCTGCCCACTTCTTCCCCTGCCGCCCTCCACCTCAAACTCCCCCAGTCTGCCCCCCCCCCTTTAGGGGTGCCCCTGCTCTGCCCGGAGCACCCCACGTGGGAGCTCAGCCCTTGCCTGGCCCTGGTGCAGGGCGAGCAGTTCCCATGTGCTCCGGGCCTGCCAGAGACCCTAGCTGGAGCCAGAGCCAGAGCCAGAGCCCCCGCCTGGCCATAATGTGGGGAATGGGCAGAGGGGAAGCAGGAGGTGAGGGGTCAGGACGCTGTCGTGGGTTGCACTGGTGCCAGCCCCAGGCTTAGGGATGAAGTCAAAGCTGCAGCCACTGCCTGCTCCTCCCTCCACTTCGGTTGTGAATATGAAGGGCTTTTTCCCCCCATATTGATTGGAGGGGAGTGCTTCTTATGCTGAAATATAGTAGGTTGTTCCAATGTTTGACCACATACATAATCAGAAAGTCTCTCCTAATCTCCAGCCTCAATTTCCTCTGCTGCAGCCTGAGGCCATCACTCCTAGTCCTGTCCCCTAGTCCAGGGGTTCCCGACCTTTTTATGCTGAGGACTGGCAAACCAGCAGTGACTCCCGTACTGCGGGCAGGCAGCCGACCCTTTTTTATACTGGCTGCCGGTCACTTCCAGTCTGGGGTTTGCCGGTCTGCAGTCACTTCCTGTCCGGCAGCCTACACTCCTGCGGACCTGCAGCCAACCCTTTGGGCTACAGCCTGGGGGTTGGGCACCCCTGCCCGAGTCACCACTGGAGAATTGCAGCATTTGGGTTTTTCAACAGTAGGTTTCAAGGACTCGCGATCATAAAGTAAAAGAAAAGTGTGAAAATGTGCAGTGCAGTGACTGACACAGCCAAGGACATCTGTTTGCTGCACAGCATTAGCCACCCCAGCATGACCTTGCTGCCCACCACTGCATGGCATGCTGCTGTGTTTAGATGAGACCGTTGCAACTTAAAGGCAGCTCTGCATAACAAACGACACCTGGGACCAACCAGAAATTCTACCTTACCCACAACTCGTGGCACATTCCTGTGAAAATTACCACCTAAAAACCAAATTGGGTGGTGATATCAACTTTGTTTTGTGTCTCATCTGATGATGACATGGACAGGGAAAAACTTAAAATACCATGAGTGGAAAACTAGGCAAATGTTACAGCCATAAAATAAGTTTGAACTCAAAAAGGGTTCAAGAAATTTGTGCTGTCTTAAAAATTCACCCAAACACAGTATGGCAGAAGGTAGATCATGGAGGCAACTTAGAGACTAATTGGTTCAGATAGGCATGAGCTTTCATAGGAAACAATGTACTTTGCCTCATGCCATGAAAGGACTGGTGCGGAGAAAAGATTGTATGAAGAAGGGAAAGGGGCAGGAGAGGGGATATTGCTAAGAGAGTTAATAAATAGGTTGTTGAGATCAATTGCAATCAATAAGGCAGTTAATACCTGGAGGGACCCTTCCTCCTTGCAGTTAACAGGTGGGATGAAATGAGAGTCCCTTCTGAAACCATGGTTAATACAATCCAGTTTGTGTGTGACTTCTTGTTCTGCAGTTTCACCTTCAAGTTACTTATTAAAGGTTGTTTTTTTTTAAGGACTGCTATTCTTACTTGTGCTACCCTTACTTTTTAAAATCTAAGCTAGGACCTAGTTAACCAACTGTTAGGTAGGTAACCTTGAACCATGCATGCATAAAAATCTGTATGTGACAGAATGTGCAAAATTTGCATCTGTATTATACAGGAAGTTTATGAAAATGCTTCCAGTATTGGCTTACCATTTTATGTATTTTTAAATTATTCTTTAAATCTGCAGATTGCCTTTAAAGAACGCTAAGGATATTTGATAACAAAGTCAGTTGTGATAACACTTTAATGCAGACTCATCTCCCAAATATCTTGTGCTTCCTCTAATCTCTCACCACACTGAATCCCCGTGGTCTTTACTTCTGCTCCACTACACAGCTCATTAAGGTGCCACTATATGAAAAGCCTTTTTCCATTGCCTATAGGTAAGGGAGTATATCCATGACACAGTCATACAAATGATCAAGCCACCATCCTGTGACTGCTACACAGTATAGAATAGCCTGATGGCCACAGCACCTGATGGTCACAACCCTGCTCAATGCAGTTTTTCTCAGAATGGTTCAAAGTCCTTGACAACTACTCTACTTGAAAAAAGCACATTAGTAGTTACGAGTTCAGCAAAATAATTGTTATTTTCCTGATAATCGGAGTGTAGTAAGAGCAATGTTATTTCCTTAATATTTTCTATCTATTAGAACTAAAACCTTTTCAGATTTGTTACTAGCTTTGAACCTTTTGCAGATGCTTTTCAGTCATTTGGAACACCAGTAATCAAACATCCTTATTTTTTCCTCAAAAAATCCTCGTTGACTGTCAAGATGGAAACCAAAGCTGAGAATGATAGTGGTTTTCTCAATGACCTGTAACAGGTTGGTTCTAAACACAACCAAATTTGTAAGTCATTTTTCCACTTTTCTTAAGGAAATCTTCATAAACAACACATTTAGAAAAAGAAAATATCAGAGCAAGTCTACTATTGACTTTACATGCCAGCGACTCCTATCATTCAGCTGGGATTTTGAAACAAAACATGCGATTCAGATATAACTGCATCCAGCCAGCTATTCCCAGATCATTTGAAAGAGTTTGTAGAGACTGTGTATCTTAGGTCAGATAAACAGATTTTAGAAGCATCTCTGGGAAGTGCAGCAAAAAAGATAACTGTGGTAGTACAAGAACCATTACAGTCCATTTCCTTCATTTTAACGTAGGTGGTGTTATACCATTATTGCCTGGAGTGCTTTAATTACTTTCCTAGGAGACCCAAACCACTACTGTTACAATTCAATTTCAAGCCTGTGGTCTTGCCTCTAGTTTTCCTGACTTATAGAAAACTCTGAATACATAGACGCAGAAAGTGTGTATTTCTATTATAAGCACAGTCCTAAAGGGATATCATTGACTTGAAATCTAATCAGTTCTTAGAAAAAAGATGAGTGAAAAATATTTTTTCAGGACTCTAAAACCTGTCTCTTATTTTCTGTACCAGATTTTATGAGCTTATAAATGATTTTTTTCAGGGTTTAAAATGCTTCTCTCTCCCTTGTTGCCAGTAAAAGACTCATACAAACAACAAAGGAAACCTAGCTAAAACCTCAGTTTTACCATTAGCGCTCTGTGGCACAGACTCTTCTAATTGCTTAGATCCTATTGCAAGGCTGGGGCTTAACTGACTGTGGCTGTGCACAAATGTTACATTTCTGGTAGAAGTGACAAGGGGACAAGCATTAGATCAGTTTCTTCCAGGGGAAACATGAGCTTTCCATGAAAAGATCGTCCAGGTGCCAACCTGGAAAATCTCTCTTACAAGACAATTTCTCTCACAAGAATGCCTCTGTGCTCTCCTCTCAGCCTGGTCAGGGCAGTGAGGACTGCCTGGGTTTGGGGGCTTTGCACCTCTGTTCCCATCCCCTCCTCGGCTGGTCTGCAGGGGGAGGGGAGCAGGGGATAATGCTTCCTACCTC